AAATTTTATAAAAACAAGTCAAATTGTACTTTTCCACTTCATAAAGGCTCTGCACTTATTCTGGTGCTGTGAAGTGCTTGAAATTTGAATCACTAAAACTACTCATTATTCAGCAGCAAATAACTACTTAAAATCATTTTTTATTTGTTTTTTGTTTAAGAAATATTTGCATGTAAACAAAAACTGAAATCTGAGACTCCTCTTTTAATTTGACAGCAGTTTGAGGTTGTAGGGTGTAAATCTCTAGTTTTTGATGCGTTGGTTCATTTCCTTCTTGAAAAGGTGAACCATCAGCACACTGAAGATGTGTATTAGACAGCATTTATCCTCCTTTCAGTCCAAACTTCTATCTTGTGAGAATGACAGTCATTATGTTTGGTCTGTAATGGAGGCTGACATGTTAATATAAATCTTATGTTACAGTATTTGTAGTGCTGGATCGCCAGAATGAGCATTTGTGGACAGGATCAGGTGGAGAAGAAATACGACCCTCTAGACACCACCCTGAAGTTTGTCAACAGGGAGGATGACTTGGATTCATCATGTAAGATTTGTTTTATTTGTTCTGAATATAATTTATATTTGGTGTTTTGTTTCTGTTGTGGAAGCAGCAGCTGGACTCCAGCACAGATCAGAGCAGGCATCAAAGACAGATATGATGGTGATTAAGTCAGACACAGTATAAAAGGAGGAGTGGAGATAGAAAGCAGCTTACATGATGCACTCGGTGTGGGATTTGCTGGATTTGAATGTGTAGAGGGGTAGCTTGACATGCAACTCTAGTTTGACTTTGTTTCCTCTCTAAACTAACAACATGTTTGATTTGTTGTTGTTAACTCCCTCCTCAGGTGATGACTCTCTCAGAGCAGAGATGTCCTGCGGCCATGCTGTCACTCCTGAATCTCTCACACGTTGGTGTCGCTTCCTACTGGATGAGGTATGTCGTGTCTTTGTAGCCCTTTATTTTTTCTTGTAAATAAAGTTTCATGTTTAATTTGGTTAACAGTGGTGCAACGAAGTTCTATTTAAGTTTTGAGCTCTGTTAAAATAAATCTTTTTTTTAGCTAAAATTATTATACAAATGTTACCTTTTAGGTCAAGATCCTGCTTTTTTATAAATTGTTTAAGCTAAATAGTTGGGTACTACTGGTATAAGGAATTTCAAGGAATAAGTTACTTTTATAAAAGGTTATCATTGTGTGTTTGTCAGATTTGATTGTGAAAATAGTCAGTAGTTTATTAGATATAAATGTAACAAAGTACTATTATAATTATTATAATTAAAGTAAGAACCTTGAAGATTTGGACTTCAGTTCTTAGTTATTTCTTTAATTATACAGAGAGTCTTTTTTGTTGTTGTTTTCAGGGGAATTACAAATTCAGATGTCCGGCTTTAGTGGAGGGAACCAAGCAGTGTAATAAAGAGTGGTCGTACCAGGAGGTGCGCAGACTGGCTGATCTGACTGTGGAGGAAATGCAGCACTTTGAAGAGAGCATGGCCCGTCTGGCTCTTGCAGACCACTGTGAGGTTCAGCCAGTAAGTGATTTATGGTTATTATTGTGACCTTTCAGCTTATTTCACTTTGATAAAAATGTTTAAAGTGGAGGTCTCTTTCTTTTTTTTAAAACACTGTTTCCCACATCAGTGTCCTCAGTGTAAAACAGATGTAGAGAGGAAGGATCTGTCCAACCTGTGTGTCCAGTGTGTCGTATGCACAGCTGATCAGAAGAAGAAATGCCAGTTCTGCTGGCAGTGCCTGAAACCATGGAAGGGTTCAGGCCTTCGATCTGACCGCTGTGACAATGACGGCTGTGAGAACAAGGACCTGCAACTTTTGCAGACATGTAAAACCATTGATCTGCCTGAAGTAAAGGGCGTCACCAGCTGCCCCGCCATCAGACTCTGTCCTACATGTGGCCTGAGGGTGGAGCATAACAGAAAAAAATGTAAAAATATCAACTGTCCTCGCTGCAAAATGGAGTTCTGTTTTGTCTGCCTGAAACTGAAGCGTGAATGTTCCAGTTCACCATTCAGAATGTGCCCCAGTGGGGTCGCTCCAAGGCAGACCTCCATCCCTGAGTGGAGCAAAACATGAAAACAAGACAAATGAACAATTTAAGAGAATGTTTATATTTTCCTTCAACGTTTTAACAGTTGTTGATATCAAACAAAAACGATGCTCCAAAAGACACACCTCTATTTTGTCAGCCTTTGTTTCTCTGCCTCCTACTGGCTGAACTTTAAATTGCACAACAAGAGACTGTTCTCTTCTGTAAGTCAGTAACTGTGCAGAGAGATCATTATACATCTTTTACTCAAACATGTCTGTGAATATGAAATATGAATACATTTTTATCAGCACTCAGTTTATTACAAATGAAATCTTAGCATCATGCATCAGGTCTTCTTGTGAGACAAAATGTTGGCCTGTAGTTTAAGCGTAATGTGAAAAATAAAGAACTTATAAAAAGTGCTGCATTTCTTCTGTTTTGCATCAACATGCACATAGTGGATCAGTAGCTCCTAAATTATAAGCATATAAACAATTATCATATAAACAAAATGATTGATTATAAAGAAATCAAAGGAGAGCTTTGTATTATATTAGGGATTGATGAGTAAAAATCTGGATCACAGGATATTATTTATACGAGTTAGCACTTGTATTTCATAGAGGAAACAAAATCGTCCATTATAGAGATTCTGAATTTGTAAATTCTATTGTCCAATCTTGTGCACGGAAATATTCATAACATCACTTTTTCTCAGAAGAAACTAACCGATCTTGAACAAGCCAGCCTAGAACAAAGAAAATCAGACTGCCTGACTTTGCTGCTGTGTTTTTTTCACCATCATATAATCTTGTTGTGTCTTTACACTTTACACCTTCTTCCCATGATGGTTTTTCTCCTTTGGACAAATTTATCACCTTCCTTTCCTCACCTCTTTTTTCACTTCCCTGGTCTGTCTCTCTTGCAGCTGTTTTTCTGCCAGAAAAACTGGCAAAAGTTTTTGGAACTTGTTTGTATCCTTTTTTCTTTTTTTTTTAGTTTGTTTTGCATGCATTGCATAGTGAGGAAAATACACAACAATGTCACTGAGGGGGTCAGTTCGTTGAGTGAGTGAGTAGAAAACATTCTCTCAATTCTCTGCCTTAGAAAGTTTTCCTTTCACCACAGCTGAGCAAGCTTCAGTGGAACTTGTAGATAATCTCTCTGATATGACTGGGGGGACTTCCCAGTTTGCTCAGGAGTCACTGGGCACCTGGACCACTGACATGTTATTCTGTAATATTTGTGAAAGGATTTACATGTCAGCTAGGTTTTCCATACTTCGGTTTTTGGGACCCTTGCTTCTTCCTTCAACATCTTGTTCAGGTTACCCCCTAAGATTTAAAACTAACGATAGGATGCGTGAGAGTGCCACCGTCCAACAGCTCATTTCCTTCAAAAATAATCCGCTGTTGATCTGAAACAGACACAGAAGATAAAAGTGAAGAACACACACCGACTGTCAAGCAAGGCTGAACATTTCTGCAGAACAACTGAAAAGACTCAATCATCATTTATCAATTAAAATTATGAAAAAAATCAATCAATCAATCTCCAGGGAGATCACATGATGCACCGACTTGATGCTAAATTACTGTAAAGTTGTGCATTGGTTAATGGTAATCATGTGACTGATGCAACCCAGATCCTTTTATTTAGCAAAATTGGGATTAATAGTTACAATTTATTGTTGAGGGGCCAATTGTTTCCTGGTAACAAGTGAACCACCTAAGTCCAGGATAAACCTGGAAGTTACATGGATAAGACGAAAATCCTGCCTCGTACAGTCCTCTGGCGGAAGACCCTTTTTTTTTTTTATTATTTTGCACAAACTGTAAATACCAACTTGTCTTAAATTCTCTAAATATTAAATACTTGTTTTTATTATTATTTTTTATTACTGCTATTTTCTTGTTATTTTCTTCTTAATATAACTGCACACTTTCTAATGTGTGAGGAGCACGAGCCAAAGAATTTCATTATGGATAAATGTGGCTACACTGTTTATCTGTACATGACAATAAAACTTGAAACTTGGATTGAATTTCACAAACTTTAAGGACTTTGGTCAATAGGACTGCGCGAGCTGCTATAATAATGTTTAGTCTATCTGAAGCCAGGAAAGAAATCAACAAAAAAAATACCAACTGTGGAAGTGAACAAACTTATCAATATGACAATTCTAGCATCAAGACACGGGGGAAAGTGACGGATTATAATTGAGGTATTTGAATTGACATTTCGAAGAAAGTTATATGTTTTTATTCCATCAGCTGAAGTCTCATGGGGTTTAACAGTTAGGATGCCTGGGTCGTTGACCCAGGGTTTTTGAGTTTATTATATTATTTATACTTTCTAGTTTTTGGTTTCTTTGAGTTCTGTCTTATGGTTTATGTCTCTGTCTTCTTTAGTTGCTCTGTCTCCCCTATCACCTGCATCCCCTTGTCTAGTTCGCGTCTATGTGTATCTTAAGTTCCTATATCCCCGTGTTCAGTCAGTGTTTTGTGTCTGCCTTGGTCCCACGTCTCTGTTCCCTTTGTAGTGCCTGCTTATGAGCCTGTGTCTTTGTTCAGTCTGTGTTATGCGTTTCCTGTTTTACTTTGAAGGTCTGTGTCTTATCTCAGTGTGTTCAGTTTACGCTTCTTTGGTCTTGTCAGTTCTGATTTGCCCCAGCTGTGTTTCCCTCCTGTTACTCATTCCCTGATTGCTCCCTCTGTGTATTTAAGCCCTGTGTTTCTTAGTGTCTGTGTCGGCTGTTTGTTTTGCCCATCCATTAGTTTATTTTTTTTTGGAGTTTTTCCAGTTATATGATGTTTGCGTTCAGCATTAAAGCTGTTTTGGTTTAAGTTCTGTCTCCGGAGTCTGCACCTTGGGTCCTATTCCTGCCTGCACACAGCCACACCTAACATTAACAGTTTCCGAGCAAATAAAGAATAAATATTAAAAAAAAAAGTGAATTCATAGGATTAGTCGGCATGAAAACTTTATATAAGGTCAGAAAGAAGGCTATAAATATATGCTGTTTGAGAACCGTGCATTAATTCTTGTTAAACAATAAAGTTGTTATATAATAAGAGTGAATCTAAAAATTCATCTTTCTATTGTGTGCACACAGAGTTCTCAGGGATCCTAAGGAGTGTAATCTGGAACCTAGCCAGCATAAGTTTTCATGGCAATATATACTAGTGAGAAGTGAACCACAAAGAAGCATATACGTCTGTGCTTGTTAGCTAATTTTACTGCTTCAGAATTTTCCTTAACTACAATACAATGAAATGCATCTGTATAATTATCTAGAAATGCACAGACATATAACACCACAGCTCAAGGGTAAAAATGTCACATTACAGCAAGCTTTCACTCTGTCTTTCAGAGCTTTTACCTGAGATATCCAACATATATGAAAAACAGTGCCTTATTTTTTTCCTTCAGATGTTTCATGGTCATGCTGTTAAACTCCTCATCAGTGTTGCACATATCGATCCACTTCGTTTCACCCCTTAGTCCTTGAACCTTGACCCAGTAGACCGTCCCCATTTTTAGCTTTTTGGGATGAGAATTTCTGTGCTCCTTTAGATTCTGTCAATAATAATGGTAATGACACTGACACAAGTTATCTGCGCTCAGCAGACAGCAGAGTCTGATGCCAGATGGCTGAGGATGCTTTCAGTTTCACCTAAATTCTTCTTATTTTTCCAAGTTATGCTCTGTCGTTGGTACAAAGATCATCAACGCAGTTTTGAAAAGCGACAGAACCCTGTCATTTCGAAGCGGAATAACCTATGGATGAAAGGTCTTTTTGAAATCCAAAATCTCTGGGGATAGTGAAGGCATTACTCACCACTCACTATATTAAAGCTTTAAAAAGTCACGTTTTATTTATTTATTTATTATTTTTCAGCTGCTTTTTCATTTTCAGTCTAATACATGCGTATTGAGAGACTGGGGTCTGGCATCGTTGAATCATTGAAGCATGAAGAAGGCACTAAACTCAAGAGATGAACCAATGTTCTTTGTACAAACAACAGACAACTTTAAACTAGGTGTATGGAGAAGAGACAGACTTTATAGGTTCATAGAACAGATACATTACATTTTGTAAGATGTTTTTTTTTTGTTTTACTTTTGCCTTTGACAGTTTAGCTTTTCAAATAATTTCACTTCACATCAGCCTGAGCAAACAAAGAACATGTCATAAATGCTTTGAAAGAACTTGTTGTTCCTGGAAACAAATACACACCAAACAAACCCTAACAGCACAATTGTCTCTGATCCTGTGAGTCAGGCTGAAAATATCTGACAAGTTCAACCATTAATATGTGTTGAGTGACTTTTTCAGGTCCACTGACACCAAGTTTCACTTTCTATCTCCATCACATTTGCAAGAATTCACACGTCACCTGTACAATCAGGTGTGTTTCTATTGCAGTTGTTTGCAAAAATGTAAGACACATGTTATACAAAATATAGAGGAATACACAATTTATTCTTGCTGTAAATTAAAATGGTGCACATGTGGTGAACTTGTTTTAAGCTTCAAGAGAGGAAGTTTAACTAGTTTTTGTGGCAAAGAAGCAAAGAACAAACAAAATCACAAAAATTGGATTTTCAAAACATCCATACCCTCAACATTATAGAAAGCCTTCTTTCAACAGAGATCTTCCTATATATGATGAGCAAACTTTACCTGCCACTTCAAGAACAGGCACATAAATAATTGTAAAAAAGTAAAACAGAAGTTTGTGATTTGGAAGTTGAATAAAAGTTTATTACAGTTGGACCTGCACAGCACCTAGTTGTGTTAATAAAATGATAACTTCAGAGATTCCATACTTCGATTTTTGCCAGTCTTGTCCCCCATCCCACTGTTTTCATCAATAGGTCCACCTCCTCCAGGAAGCTTCATTACCATGTGGATGAGAGACATGTGCTGGATTCCATAGTCAGACAGAAGGGTATTATCTCCATCCAGCATCTTATCTCTGAATATCAGACGCAGACGCCCCTCTCCTGCACACACACACGAAAACTTTAAGAAACACACACACACACACACACACACACACACACACACAAGCATGGGGTTACTTTTAATAATTAATAGTATGTTCAGTGTTTTAGTTTGCAGCTATAAACTACGTAAAGAGTGTAAGTTTGGTAATTGGAGGCTTTCTAAAATCACTGACGGTAGAAAACACATTTAATGAAAGCTTAACCTAAAAACAAAGCTTAATGGTAATCATGAAGTACACATACTTGAGCAATGTAGTGTGTTTAGCCAGATGTTTAGTATCTTTTTCTTTGTTTGTTTGGTTTTTGTTGTGTACTGTTAAATTTTTGTTCTCATTGACAAACAGTTGATCTATTAAACTGTTCTCATAATGGCACCTAATTTAGCTTTAAATTTGACAGTAACAACTTATTGCTGCTTCCTTGTTTAATGTAAATATAGAATGTTAACTTGTAAAGAAGTGTTATAATGTTTTCATATGTAATAAAGCTTTTTTAACACAGTTTAATTTGTATCTTTTTTTCAGAAAACCTTTAAACAGTGTTAATATGCATCAATAAAACTACATTTCAGACGGTACATTGCTATCTGTTGTCTTCTGCCATCAGGTCGGAAAAAGCGCGTTACTCGTGTTTCGGCCAGTGTTCTTTACCTGCAAAGTTCGGAAACTTCTCACATATTTTTTCCTTCAGCTGTCGCACTGCCATGTTCTTAAACTGCTCCTCGGTTCTGCACAGGTCGACCTCCACCATCTCACCCATGGGGCTACGAACAATAACCTGGTAGATCGTTCCCATTTTGTGCTGACTTGTGTGTCACTGGCTGTGTTCCTAAAGTTGTTGGCGCGGACACTGGTAATGGCCCTTCAGGTTGTTGTTCACGATTTGGGTCTAACAGATGAGTGACGATACTCTTCTACTGTTATTATTGGTTGGATCGAAGGCGTAACGTCCAAAGGTTGAAAAAAACACCCTAAAGGAACAAATGACTATTCTGACCGCACCACCAAACAAATTTGACGCCAAATTGACATCTTATCCGATATCGCAAGTTGCTGTTTCTGCCCTGGTCTCGACGTTTGTAAAGTGAGGCGACTGCGTGAAGACACGAATGTACGACCGTAGCTTCCTGATTTCTTTGCGTTGGGTTTTGACTTCTTCTGTTCTTATATCAGCCCTGATGTAGTATTGTTTGATGGGCGACACCTATCGTTCAGGAAGAGACTTCAGCGGCCACATGCCCTGTAAATTGTAATTTGTACGGTGGCCCTGAAAGGCCAAACGGACTGCAACTTCAGAAAACACTTGCAAAAAGAAAAATGCTGCAAAAAGAAAAACGCTGCAAAAAGAAAAA